TTCATAAAGTGTCTCAGCTAGCACAAATGCCTCTAGCTAGAGGGTTTTTGCTCCATGCACAGCTGTGAACCGTCTCTGGTTTAGTGCAGAAAGGTGATACAGTGCCAGGGGAAGGTTTTATCTAATGATGCTGCTGAAAAAGCGTTCTCCAAAAATCGTAGATAATGATGAGCAAAACTGAGTGTGCAGAAAACTTAAGACCACGAAGGGTCACTGAGAGTTATGGAAGTATTCTAGGAAATGTCCCAAATACTGAATTCTCGCAGCTGTTTAACGGGATGCTGTGGCCAAAACCACACAGAGGCAGAAGAGCCTTAAAAGACAATGTGTGCTAAACAGGAGGAGAATGGAATTGGTGATAATAAATACATACATGCACTTGTGAGGAAGATCAGAAAACCCCCTGAAAAATCCATGGGGAAAAGAAGAATCAGAAGGTGCCATTAAAATAGTGAATCCTGGTAAATTCACTGCAGTGGCTGTAAGTTGCCACTCTGAACTGGTTGTGTGCTATGTTTCTCTTGTGAAATTGGGTTTGGCTTCATGTGCTACAATAAAGAACATTTTAGATCAGACAACATCTTCTCTCCCTGTAGGTATTTCCTGGCCACACATTTTGCCTTGATATTTGCTTTGTAAAATAGCTAGTTTGAGATTTCCCAGGCTTCCTACATGTCTCATCAGAAGCATTTGTTTCAAGAACTCAAATCCAAATGGGTGTTACTGTGGCTCTTGGCTTAATGCAGGGTTGCCCTTGTTGCTCAGGTGAAATCAGTGGTATCTTAGCATTTTAAAGGGTAAAAAAAGGACTCATGACCACTTTTCTGAGCTTTCCCAAACCTTTCCTCAGCTTTTACTGAACTCTGAGTTTTTGATGGCCCCAGGAGAGAGCAGGGCATCATTCTCAGGGGACACAACTGCCATCCAGCTATCCATGCCCCAGCCCATGTCTAGTTTCCCTTCATCCTCAGTGAGCAGAGTATGAGCCCTCCAGGAGTGATTCCTCCCCTGAGGAAGGTCCTGTCTCCCTGGGAAGGTCAGGTGAGGATGCTTAAGCATTGTGTAGGTGTCTCTCTTGCTCTGTGTCACTAGTTAAGCACAGTGAGATGTGTCAGACTTGGGTGTGTGAATACGCAGTCCAGCGCACAGAATAACGTCATTTCTGCTGTGAGACTTCTGCTCAGTATTTCCTGCTGATACAGCCAAGAGGGTCTGCCCCTGAGCTGCAGCAGGACGTCAGCTGCTGCTGTAGATAAGGTTGCTGCTGTGTCCATTTAAGCTTTTTCAGTGTTTCCAGGCCTTCAGAGCCTTTGATCACACTTTATCAGTGACTCAGATGGCTCTGGTTAACCGAGCTGTCCTTATTGCATTTGCCACTGCCGCAGGTTTGGGTTTTTTTTGCTATTTCTGAAAGTTATCATCCTCTTTTCTTCCTGTTTTTGTTCTTTTCTTTTTCTAAAAATGTAAACTAGAGCTGGGATGAGAACTGCTCACTTTGCAGAAAGAGAGAAATCTGAAGTCCATACATCCCCCGTCAGATTGTTCAGTGCCTTTACAAGCTGAGCAAGTTACTGCCTTACCAGATTTAGCAAGTCCCGTTTAAGAGGGACTTTATCTATTAATAGTTAGTATCGGTAATAGTAATTAATATCAATTAACATTAATAACAGTCCCAGTGTTCACCTCCTGCACCATTCCTCTTGCTTCTTTGATATCAGTGACAGGCTGGAGAAGAGCAGTCATGAGCACCCAGAGTGACTTAGGTTACCCCTAGAAGCCTCTGGTCAAAGCTCTCACTCAAAAGCATGACACACTTAAAGCAGACACTGCATCCAAGGTCATGGTTTGTATTGGTCTGTTCACCTCAATCTTGAATAGATGCACTTCATTTTTAATACTGATGTGTTTAGGTTCTGTTGCAGGCACTGGGGTTAATTCTGGCTATGCCAGGAATTTTAAAGAGCCTTCTGCTAGAAGACTTCTCGTGGATACTTCCTCTCAACATACTTGTTTGTAGAAGCTGCTGCTGTGTGTCTCCTTTTTCTCCTTAGATTAGGTCAAGCCTCTTTCATCTCTTCTAGTAAATTTTATCAGCTGGGGAAGTACTGAGGAGTTCCAGGGCTGCCTCTGGTAGAGCTTTGGGTACCTCCATGGACAGAGCTCCCACAGCCTCTCTGGGACCCTGTGCCAGTGTCTGACCACCCTCACGGGGATGAGGAAGAGTCCTCATATCTACTTGGAAGTTTTCTTCTTGCAGCTTTTGCTTCTTTCACTGTGTGCCTCTGTCTTCTCTACCCCTCCCGTTCGGCAGTGCAGGCAGCAAAAGGTCTTTGCCTTCTCTTCTACAGGCCGAGTAAACCCAGTTCTTTAGTGTCTCCTTGTACGTCCCCACGGTCATTGCAGTGGCGTCTGCTGGACTCAGCACAGTGCGTCTGTGTCTTTCTCGTAGCGGGCAGGCCCAAACTGGACACTGCAGCCTCACAAGAGCCCATCAGAGAGGAAGGATCACCTGGCTCAAGGTGCTGGCTGCACGGGAGGGCGCACTGCTGACCTCCGTTCAGCTTTCATCCTCCAGGGCTCCCCACATCATCTTCTGTGGAGCTGCTTTGTAGCCACCATCCTGGTGACACAGGAGCCAGACTCGGAGTCATTTTTGCTGGGCTGCTGTCTACCCCTTCCTCCAGCCTTTCAGGGTCCCCCTGAACTGCAGCCATGCCCTCCAGTGTATCAGCCATCCTTCAGCCATTCTGAAGAAGAGGAAGGAAAGGGAAGAGCAGCCCCTCTGCCCACCCGACTGTGGAGGTAGCTCTCCATTCCCCCCTCTTCCCAGGGAAGCAGGCTCTGGAGCTTTCTGAGCAACGTGATCTCTCTGTGGCAAAGAGCTACCCCCTTCCCACTTGGAAGCGAGCCCATTCTCGCTTCCCAGCCAGCGAAGTGGCACCGGGTTAACCGTTAACTCCCTGTTCCCAGGCCTGCTGGCACAGGACTGTGTTTCCTGGGCACATTGGAGCTGCTCTCTTTGGCCTTCCTGGTGATGCCCTGGTGATGTTGTGGCATGGGCAACACAAGGGAGGGTGGCACCGGAGCGGGGTGTGGGGATGGTGGGGATGGAGGGGACAGGCACAAGGCCAGGCACAGCACCACTGGGGCTCCTCTTGGTGTGGGGACAAGCAGACAGGTTGCCACCCTGACAAGGGGGAAGATCCTTCAAGAGGGGTTGTGGGGAGCCTGGTGTGCGCAGTGGTACCCGCTGGCAGCCGGCACCGTCTCCTCCCCACGTCCTGCTCTGTGCTTCTTTGCCCTATGAAGTGGGAAGCTTCCGAGTGTTTCCTCTGCAGGGAGCTCCAGGAAAATGCTGGAGGCTGCAGTTTCCTCCTCCCTCAAGTTTGCCTGGTCCTGGCGTACACTGGGACGTGCCTCAGGCCCTGGATGGTGCTAATTCTGAGTGCCAGAGAGGGACTCCCAGCAGCCATTCTGCCATCCCTGGAGACACCCAAGGCCAGGCTGGATGTGGCTCTGAGCAGCCTGATCTGGTTGAAGATGTCCCTGCTCACTGCAGGAGGGTTGGGCTGGGTGGCCTCTGGAGGTCCCTTCCAACCCAATCCATTCTGTGATTCTGGTGCACTCAGGTCTCCCTCCCGGCTGCTCCCTGCCAAGCACAGAGGGTTTTTTACTCCATGGGGCGCGTCAGAGCGTGCCTGGGTGTTTGATCGCCGCTCGCTCAGTGGCAGCAAGGAGCAGCGGTGGAACCGCTCGCAGCTGCTCATCTCCTGGGTGGGCAGGTGGGTGGCAGCCAAAGGCAGCGACAGCTTTTGAAACAGGAGGGAGAACCTTGGAACTCCACTGGCCCTGGTACCCGTGAGGACAAAGCAGGTGAAGAGCTTTGCTGAGCAGCCTGTGCTGCAGGAGGAATGCTGGCAGCAATGAACAGTGCCCACTGGCATGGCTCATCCCCACCATCTGTGAGCTAGGGGTGAGGGGGCTCACCCCCATCTCAGTGGCCACCAAATGGAGGGGGGTTGCATTTTCTGTGTTCCAGGTCTTGTTTATGGTTCCTGAGTCTTCATCTCTAAGGCGTCTTCAGGAGACAGTGCTGAATAGAGAGGTGTCTGCTGCACAGCCTTGTCTGTGAGCAGGGACCTGAGTCTTGCACGTGCATAGAATGGTTTGGGTTGGAAAGGACCTTAAGATCATCCAGTTCCAACCCCCTGCCATGGGCAGGAACACCTCACACTAAACAATCTCACCCAAGGCTCTGTCCAACCTGGCCTTGAACACTGCCAGGAATGGAGCATTCACAACTTCCCTAGGCAACCCATTCTAATGCCTCACCACCCTCACAGGAAAGAACTTCTTCCTTAGATCCAATCTAAACTTCCCCTGTTTAAGTTTTAATCCGTTACCCCTTGTCCCACCACTACAGTCCCTAGTGAAGAATCCCTGTCCAGCATCCCTATAGCCCCCTTCAGATACTGGAAGCTGCTCTGAGGTCTCCACGCAGCTTCTCTTCTCCAGGCTGAACAGCCCCAACTCTCTCAGCCTGTCTCCATACAGGAGGTGCTCCAGGCCCTGATCATCCTCGTGGCCTCCTCTGGACTTGTTCCAACAATTCCATGTCCTTTTTATGCTGAGGACACCAGAACTGCACACAGTGCTCCAAGTGGGGTCTCAGGAGAGCAGAGCAGAGGGGCAGGATCACCTCCATGACCTGCTGCTCACGCTCCCTTTGATGCAGCCCAGGACACGGTTGGTTTCTGGGCTGCCTCAACTTCCACAGCTCAAGACCTGCGTGTGGGCAGCGTGTGCTGCCTGTTGAGCCCTGGGGTGAGGGTCTGCTCTTTGCTGTGCGCAGGCAGCGTGTGCAGGCCGGCAGTGGAGGGCACTTCCTTCCCTCAGCGGCTGGGAACAGGCTATTTTTGGAAATCCTGTATAAGCAAAGCAAACGGACTGGGGCGCTTCTCTGCAGTTTCTTTTCCCCTAATTCAGCACTCAGAAACATATTTAATTAAAAAGTTATTTATGGAAGCCGTTATAGTTAACTTATCCAGTGAGAACATTGCCATTCCGAGCTCTTACTGTGATGTTAACCGTGCTTGCTTTCAGGGTGAGACTGCCTCTGTCCAAAGAAAGGGGAACACGGCAGGAATACGCAAGGTGCTCAAGACCACGCCGTTCAGCCAGACAAAGCAAAGCCTTCACCTGAAAGGAGTAAAAAAGAAACATGGCAGAGTTCACAGGTCACAAGGAAACCTCAAATCGGCACCTGCGGTTCAGACTGCAGAGTCTCAGCCGCCGCCTCGATGAGCTGGAGGAAGCAACCAAAAACCTGCAGAAAGCAGAGGATGAGCTGCTGGACCTCCAGGACAAAGTTATCCAGGCGGAAGGCAGCAACTCCAGCATGCTGGCCGATGTTGAGGCCCTGCGGAAACGAGTGCTGAAGATTGAAGGCAAGGATGAAGAGATCAGGAAGGCTGAGGAGCTTTGCCGGTTAATGAAAGAAAAGCTTGAGGAGGAAGAGAGCCTCACCCGAGAGCTGAAGTCAGAAATCGAGCACCTGCAGAGGAGAATGGCAGAGCTGGAGAAGCTGGAGGAGGCCTTCAGCAGGAGCAAGAACGACTGCACGCAGCTGTGTCTGAGCCTCAACGAAGAGAAGAACTTGACCAAAAAGATATCGACGGAACTGGAAGTGCTCCGAGTGAAAGTGAAAGAGCTGGAGGCATCTGAGGACAGGCTGGATAAAAGCGAGCAGAGCTTGACGGGCGAGTTAGAAAAACTGAAATCCTTAGCGCTGAGCTTTATCACGGAAAGAAAACACTTCAATGAAAGGGAAAAGCAGAACGAAAAAATCATCCAGGAGCTAACGCAGAAACTAGAACAGAACAATAAGCTAAATAGGGCGGATCAAACCAGGAATGCGTCCAACTTGCTAGAAAGGTCATCAAACAACCTGCTAGACAGAAATGACTTGAGGATTGAAGATGACTTGACTTCGGCGTTGCCCTCTAAGGAGACCAGGAGGAAGGGAAGCGTGGATTACCTGAAACACGTCGAAAATGAAACCAGGAATAAGTCGGAAAACCAAAAGAATAAAAATCAGGAGGACAACAAAGTGAAAGATCTCACCCAAGAAATTGAGAAACTTAAAACTCAGATAAAACGTTTTGAATCTTTAGAAGAAGAGCTTAAAAAAATGAGAGCCAAAAATAATGACCTCCAAGACAGTTACTTGAGTGAGCAGAATAAAAACAAGCTCTTAGCGGGTCAGCTGGAGGAAATAAAACTGCAAATAAAGAAACAGAAAGATCTGGAGAATGGAGAGGTAGAAAATGAAGATACAAGCTTTGCTAGCAGGGGAAAACACGACAGACCTAAATACAGGGGTGTCATAGCTGATTTGACAGCTGCCAAGCACAAGCCAAGGGAGCTCTCGCCGCAGCAGCGCCGGGAAAGAGCAAGGAACAGAGATTTCTCTGTCAGCAATGACAGCTATGCCCACGGTGGGAAGCAGGTGCCCAGTCCAAGCTTAACAAGCAGAAAAGCAGGCAAAGCCTCTGGTGCCTCTGCCCTTTCAGACACTGCCGCCACAGACACAAAAAGACTGGAAGAGAAATCTTCAGTTTCCACTTTTTCTTCTGGTCAGAAGGAAGGCTGCGTCCCTCAGAACGAGGGGAAGAGAGCGAAAGAGCAGCCCTCTGTCCTGAGCCGATACCCTCCTGCTGCACAGGAGCAGAAGTCTTGGAAAGCACCTTCCAGAGCTGTCGGTGACCCAGGCCTGCGATCCAAAGCTGAGAGGCCACCTCAGGTGCTCCGTGGCAACGGAGCCGACGCACGGGATGAGAAGTCAAACAAAGGAGAATCGGTGGCTTCTTTGGCCGAGAAGCTGAAAACAAGTCAGGCAGAAGTCAGTGACTGCTCGGGGGACGCACAGCTCGCCAGGGGTAACCACACGTCTGCCAATGGCACAGGGTCTGCATACAAGTACCAGCTCTCCTCCCACGTGTCAGCATCTGACTCTAAAGTAGAAGCAGCGAACGCTCCTGCTGCATCGCACAGACAGCCTTCGGAGGGGAGGGCTAGAAGAGCCATCATCTCCCAGGAAAAAGAATTTGCAGACCCATCCCTTGAATGCGCGAAGCCTTCAACGCTAACAAAGTGTTCGCATCGCTCCAGGAGTCAGGAGGACATGCTGCAGATCGTCCCAGGGCTCGAGAAAGAAGACACGGAGCAGTCTTCAACTGCAGTGACGGATCGTGTAAATCCTTGTTTAAAAATGGACCCCAGAGCCACCCAGAGTAACCAAGAAAAGCTTAATTCAGATGAGGAATTGGGAAGGAGCAAAAAAACGCAGTCAGATTTTGAGACAAGAAGGAAAGTAAGTTCCAAGCAGTTCTCCAATTCCAGGGGAGTTTTTAGAGCATCGCTTTTTGAAAATGACAAAGCCACTGTCAATGATGAAGACCCCACCAAGTGTATAAAACCACCCGATGCCAGCACTGGAGGACTTAAATCTAGAAGGTCGTTCAGCCCAAGAGAAGCTCTGAGATCAAAAGCTGTCATTAAACCTGCAATTGTTGAAAAGGATATGAAGGCAGTGATGGGAGGAACCGTTTCTGAGGCTGAGTCCGAAAAGCAAAAGTCTGTTTTTAAACCAGTAACAAATAAAATGACAAGCAGCATCACAATCTTCCCTTCTGAGCCAACAGCTCCAAGAGCCAGTGCAGATGCAGCAGCAAAGGAAAGACATGTTACCACCAGCAACATCAGAGTTGCTCCAAATGAACCTTCCCCAGTAGCAAACAATCTCCCCACGCCTGTTGAGATATCGATCAGTAAAAGTGCTCTGAAATCATCTGAGGCAGACAGAACTGGAGAGGCAGTGCCGAGAAGCAAAGCAGAAACAGTGGTGTCTAGAAGCAGCATTATGATAAAGACTTCTGAGCTCAGCGAGAGGAGCACTGAGCCACCCTCAGAGACAATCAGCTGGAAGAGCCATGGCTCTTCAGATGCAGTTTCATGTGAAACAAAGCATGTCACTGTGAGGAGTTCCTGGAGAACAAGACAAGGCTTACATTCCCTGGAGCACTCTCAGCCCAAAGGGGAGACAAGTGCAGCTTCCAGTACCACAGGCAGGTGTATGTCCTCAGTGGACCTCTCGGAAATGGAAGGGAACAATGCAAGAGCAAACGTCCTGGAGCAGACCTCAGCAAGGACCAGCGCCACGGCTGATTCCTGGAGTGCCCCTGAACTGGGATCCCGAAGGACCAAAAGTAACTTAAGTGCATCTGAACTGCTAACACGCAGGAGCTGTGCAAGTGATCCTCCAGCAGCTGCTGCTTGGCACCGGAGCACACTACCTGTAAGTACCCTGAGTTGAACACTCTTGTCTGTCAGCTGATGAGGTTTTCCAAGCTGCCTGTTGGTCGCAGGGTGCCTGATTTGACATTCTCACAGCTTATTTCCTGAAGTGCTTCCATCTTCCAGCTCCGCTGTCTTCAGTGAAGTATCTCCTATGTGAAGGACCTCATTTAGACTTCTTGACATTAGATCCATCTGACTGGATCTTGTAATGCCGTATGAATAACTATCGAGTAGCATTTGGTCTTGCCAGAAAACATAGTTACATGCAGGACATGGTATGCTTTTCAGAGTGGCTTTGCATGGCACTTTCAACTTGAAGTAGTAATGAAAAGATTATGGAAAAGAGCAGATTTTAATAGAGTTGTGCCTCAGGCAGAGCTGTAGCTCTAATGGCAGCTGTAGACATGCAGCTCCTTTTGGTAAGAGCTGCATGGTTTCTCCATGTGAAACCAGACTCTGGTCTGGAAATGCTTCCCAGGCATCTCCTAAACAGATGGGTGCTGGCTGGTTACACAGGGCTGCTCCCTCCTCGGTCTGTATCAACATGCCACCTGGAAAGAAGCAAGAGGCATGGGGATGGCTGTGCTCTTTTCCTGTTCCGTTGGCTGGAACCAGTGAGGGGAGTCCCTCAAAGCAGGGCTGGCACACACACACACACAGTTGGAGCTGTACTTGCCACCGGAGGCACAGGCTCCAGCATATTTCAGCTGAGCTCGGGGGCACCAAGTGCCCCTCCAGGCCATTAAGGCCCATGCCAGCTCCTGCTGCAGCTCCTGCCTCTGCTCTTCACTTAGAGCTGCTCTAAGCAGCTGCTGCCACTGGCAGTCTTCAGGAGGAGCCCAGTGAAGCCATCTGAAAGGGCTGCTGGTAGAGGGGACAGATTCATAACCCAGTGCCTCTGGCCCTGACAAAGATGAGCTGGTGGAGATGTGAAGGAAGTTTTACATTTGCAGAACTTCTCTTCCACTTCTCTGGCAATGAGAAGCACAGAAGAATTTGCTCCATGGCTTTGTAGAGAGTCTATTGCCTGGGGTGTTACAAAGCACAGGTTGCCCTTCCAGCTACATTTGGACACAGAAGACATCATTTCTCTGGCCAGGGTCACTCGTGGTCACGGGCAGTCTGTAATTCCTTCGTGAATCCAGGCAGAGCTGACATGATTGAGGTTGTCCTTTTGCCTAACGGCAGCTTATGTGTTTGGGAAATGGGAGATCCATCCCTGAGCCTCCCTTTATCCCAGGAGCTGGAATTCCCAGCAGCCACACCACTGAGCCTCTCAGCTGAAGAGGTCATCACTTGCAGCAGAGCTCACATAGGGTCAGCCATGGAGCCTGACAGCGTGGGCTCTCACGTTTCTGTCCCATCTTCCCCCAGCAGCCCACCCAGGGCAGTGTAGCTCTGCAGTACCTGATACAGGCGGTCTGGAGGTCACTGTCCCGTCAAATGTGCCTACAGCGGCAGCTGAAGGGTACCTGGCAGGGCAGCCTGATCTCTGTGTGGTCGTCCTGGGTATCAGGGTTAGCTGGCTTCCCTGTCTGCATTGCAAGCAGTCAGGAAGGTGACTGCGTGGATAGTTCATGCAGGGCTGGTGAGTACGGAGCTGGGCATCTCTCTGTATCACCCTGACACCATAGTCACAAATGTGAACCCTTGGTCATAAATTAAGTATATTTTTAACTTGTAAATGAGGAGCAGGAGGTTACCCTGAAAGACTGCAGATACACAGATAGAGCAGATACACCAAATTTTATGTATTTGGGCAGCTCAAACTATTGCATGTGCCCTTGAAAAAAAACACCAAAGCATCGACATTGAAGGAGTATCTTCAGGGTTAGGATATGCCTCATATCACAAGCAGCTTGTTTCTGCTGGGATCTGAGTTGCAGTTAAAGATGCAGCTATTGCTCTGGCAGAAGGCTTGGCACTGATCTATGCTGACTTTGCACATTTAGCTTTCCTGTAAAGGCATCACTGTCACCTCTTCCCAGCCCCGCTCTCCAAAGTCTGAGGTTGCCTTAAGAATCCTATCTGGAAGCTGCGCTGGTTTTGCCAAAATACATCTTCCTCCCCTCCATGAAACACCATGTCTGATGCCGGGAGGTAACAGCAGCTCTTAGCAGCGCTTGGGCTATAGAAGCAGCAGCTCTTTGAAGCAATGCTTTGGGAGACCCAAAGGCAGTAGCTGCTGATGGCTGGATGCTGCAGCCTGAGGACCAGCTCCCTCTAGTGCCTGCAGCCAGGCTCGCGTAAAAGACTGGCGGAAACGCAAGACCTCAAGCTGTAAATCAGCTAAAACCCTAAAGGTAGGCTTGTCTTAAACGAGGCCATGCTCACCTGTTTGGGGTGGCTGGGTCCCATGGAAAGGTCTCCCTGACAGTATCCAGCGATGTGCTGCCTCTTGCCCCTTCTCTCCTCTGCTTTATAAAGTGCATCCATCACCATTTCACCCTTGCTGACTCCATGTGAGCATCTATTTAAGCAGCTAACCACAGTCTGTTCAGAGCAGCTTCCAAGGGCTTGTCAGTGACCAGCTGATTGTTCTTTGGGGTGCCATGAAGCACACCATGCTCCACGATGACCCGGGCCTGGGGAAGTACCTGGAGGTACTGGTCTGCAGCAGCAACACATGGAGGGTGGCCATCCTGATGACCCTGCCTCAGCTCTTTACCTATGAAACTCTTTGAGACCAGTGTATCTGGGTTGATAGTCACAAATTGAGGCTGCCTGACAGCTGAGACGGACTGACACTGTCAGGTGCCCAAGGGCGTGGAGCTCATATATGCTCAACCAGTGGCTTCACCTCTTCTCACCTGTATCAGAAATAGTGGTGCCTAGCCCTTGCTAAGCTGTCCAGGTCCATCAGTCACAGAACCCCAGACTGGTTTGGGTTGGAAGGGACCCTAAAGCTCGTCCAGCTCCAACCCCTGCCACGGGCAGGGACCCCTTCCACTGGAGCAGCTTGCTCCAAGCCCCTGTGTCCAACCTGGCCTTGAGCACTGCCAGGGATGGGGCAGCCACAGCTTCTCTGGGCACCCTGTGCCAGCGCCTCAGCACCCTCACAGGGAAGAGCTTCTGCCTAAGAGCTCATCTCAGTCTCCCCTCGGGCAGGTTAAAGCCATTCCCCTTGGCCTGTTCCTACAGGCCCTTGTCCCAAGCCCCTCTCCAGGTTTCCTGCAGCCCCTTCAGGCACTGGAGCTGCTCTCAGCTCTCCCCTTCAGGAGCCTTCTCTTCTCCAGGCTGAACCAGCCCAGCTCTCACCAAACAGATCCCTAAAGGCTGAAGCCTGCTCTCCTGCAGTCCAGGGCAGTGACCTTGCTGCACACCCTTCTTGCTGCCCTAAGACTCTCAAACTCCCCCATTTTATGGTCACTCCAGTCAAGGCTGCCCTCTAGCTTCACACTCCCCACCAGCCCGTCCATGCTGGTGAGGACAAGGTCCAGCATAGCCCTGCTTCCTGATGCTTGGAGCTCAAAGTTGTCATCAACAATTCCAGCAACCTCCTGGATCACCTGTGCACTGCTCTGGTGTCCCTCCAGCAGACACTGGGGTGGTTGAAGTCCTCTATGAGGACCAGGGCTTGTGAATGTGAGGCTGCATCTGTCTGCCATCACGATGAATGGCATTCATTAACTTACAGCTACTTACAGTTAACTTACATTAACTCACTTTTACAAGCAGCCTGGCCCGTCATGGTTACCTCTGGCCCATGGTTGGTTGGAGGTCCCTGTCCCTGTGTTGTGCCTGCTCACCGAGGTGCTGCTGCTGCTCACATCTCACTTCTGTTGTAGGGCTTGGATCACAAGAGGAGGGGTCAGGTCCAGCGTTCGCTGGATGTCATCCACAGCAGGGCCAGCTTAGGCAGCTTCTTTCTGAGAGCCCACCAAGGCCTGGTGTCCATCTCAGAGGTGCTTTTGTGCCAGGCACGGGGGGGGTGCTGCCTCTCCCTTCCCTGCTATCCCTTTTGCCACAGGGCAGGGACTGAATCTGTTCTGCCACTGCCCACATCCCCTTCTCAGGGCCGTGCTCTGCGTGGCTCAGCAGACACGATGCCACAGCACAAAGGCTTCAGGAGTGCAGTGCCCAGTTCACCAGTAATGATTTGCTCTGGTTCCCCAGCCAGCCATAAGGCAGACTGTAGGCGTCTGAATGCCAGGGTATGATCCCATAAATGTCTCTACAGACATTCTGGAAAACTTTAGTTTAAGAGTGCCATTTAGATGCTTCTAGCAGGAAAAGAGTGCAGAACACTCCCACATCGTGTCCTCCTTGACAAGAAAATGGGAGATTCAGGTTGCTGACCACCCTTCAGAGTTAATAGTTACAGGAAGCTCCTTCAGTCACTAAGCTGTGGGGTTTTCCTCTGCTAGTCCCTCATGGATACAAGCATTGAGCCCAGTGAGCCATGCAGGCTGAGCACAGGTTTGTGCACAGGGCACTCAGCTCACCAGAAGACTGCATCTAGAACTTGGGTTAAAATTACTGGGGAGTTTAAAAAGAAACAGCACAGAAGTGAGGAGATGCCAGAGCTGGGCTGGTGCCTCCAGGCCCTCCTGGCCAGAGGGACTCGAGCCAGCACCTCACCCTGATAACCCTGGAGCAGGAGCCCGGTGCTGTTCCCCTTCCAGTCCCCGAGTTCCGACCTGCTTTGTTTTCCTTCACACAGGATGAAAGCAAAGATTTTGTGCCCAGTTCCAGAAGGAAACAGTACGGCTCCTCTGAGTATCTGTCACAGGCTGACACAGCAGGGAAAAGGCCAACCACCAAGATGGAGCTGCAGGACCCTGAATCCAGCCCCCATGCACCACTGAGTCTCCAAGGGGAGGAGCAGGTATGTGAGTTGAAGGAGCATGCAGAAAAGAGAGTGACAAGGCAGGAAGCCAATATCTGAACTGACCCCCCAGGGACATAACTTAGAGAACTTGTCCAAAGTGAATGTAAAGCTTTTAGGAGAAAGCCAGTCTGAAATCAGCACTGCCCAGAGGTGGGGTGTCTCCTGCCTTGCCTCCATAGAGATGGGGTGACTCCTGCATTGCCTCCATAGAGGTGGGGTGTCTCCTGCATTGCCTCCATAGAGGTGGGGTGTCTCCTGCCTTGCCTCCATAGAGGTGGGGTGTCTCCTGCATTGCCTCCATCAATTATTCTACTCATTCCCTGTAACATTAAAAACTACTACCTTATTTTCTTTGTTCTGAACTTGTTTCAGCTAGTTTTAATGGTAAAAACAGTCTCTAGGGAATAAGAGGCACTGCTTCTAGTCATCCTCTGGCACACACTGGGCCATCAGGGAGGGGAAAAACAACCCATTTGGAGAGGCAAAATCAGAGTCCCTGCTTCAGCTGGCTGCTGTACCCCTAGGGTGCTTGGCTGCTCCTACATACCTGCTACTCTGCCTCCTGAGACACGGCTTTCTGGAGACATGAAGAAGTGGAAAATGGGCCACGTTAGAGTGACTGGGACTTATTGCCTGAAATAAGCCCCCTTCAAAAGAGACAGGGATCTAGGCCTTTCATTCCTAGGTGCACAGCCGTGCTTATGTCTGTACCAAAGACTTTCTTTGTCTCCTGGAATTCCTTATTTGCCTGTGCAGCTGCCCAGAGCAGAGTGCATCTTGCCATGTATGGATCAGCCGCAGCAGGAAATGTCTTAAGACCTCAGTCCTGTTGTCAGTGCATCTCAGCACAGGAGCTGCTGAGTCTTGCTGTGAGAGCAGCAGAACTGCAGTGAGGCAGCCCTATATACTCATACCTCTGGGTGAAGCTACACAAAACAACCCAGAGGGACGTGGTCCCAGCTGAGTTTTGCAGACTGCCACTTAGAGATAGGTAATGTTTGCAGGAGAGGGTAGTGAACTTTCACTGTCCTTGTTGGTAGCCAAGGAAACGGACACCACAGGGATGCTCTCTGTGGTCACTGAGAGCTGTTATGCAGATGCAGACTCCTGTACCTGAGGCTGTGCTGTGCTTTCTTTGTCTGCACAGACTGGGTCAACAAGAAATGAACACTGGGGTAAAGTCAGGTCCCCACAACATACACACTGTCATTTTGAGCTTCTGTCTTTGCCCAGACCTCCAAAACTGTAACAGGAGCCTGAACACCTTGCACATGAAAGATGTGCTCTGACATTAGATCAGTTCCATCTCCTCTGTGTTGTCAGGTGCATCTTACTTGTAAGAACCACGTGCTGGGTGTGACGTGGGTGCACTGTATGCTGCAGCGTTAAAAAAGCTAATAGGTCCTGCCTGGGCAGGGCAGGGCTGGGTCATTCTGCTTTGGGCTTACTGCACTGTAAGCACTGACAGAACCTGCATCTTCCAAACTGATCCTGCCACTGCCCTCCCCTGCCCCACCGCTGCGCTGGGATCCTGATGGGCTTTGGGATTGCTGCCTATGGGCTAGCACAGTGCTCTTCCCCAGAGCAAAATTGCTGCCAGAGGCAGCAGCAGGTCCTGGCCAGTCTGTGATGCTGCGGGGCTGTGTCTTACAGGGTGCTTCCCGGGCCTGCCGGACAACATCTCGGAGATGAGCTGTGTTGCCTTCCACCCAAAGAACACGCTGCACAGTGGAGCAAGAGGCAGGACAGTACCAAGCTCATGGGTGTCCCACCTGTTTGTAACCTCTGCACAGGCTTCAGCAAGCCTGAAACCCATTTTCTAATGCGATTTGCAAGGTACAGGAGCTTTACCAGTGAATTCATTTTCTTCTTTGCTGAAGAGGCAGCTGCAGAGACTTTGCTCAGGGGACTCCCACTTCTCATCTCTGTACCTGCAATCTTACATCTGCTCCATAGGAAGTCTTGACTGCACAGCCACTCTGAACGATGGTACTGCCTGGACAAGAGAGAACTTCTTAATCACTTGCATTTAGACAAGATCCCAGCGGTATCCCTGTGGCTGCAGTCCACCAGCCCATGACAGCTGTCCTGCATGGCTCCACATCCAAAAGCTTTCTGTTTCTAGGGAGAGTTTGCATTCTCCTAATACACCCTTGTTGGCTTGGGTTGTGGTCACCTCAGTACCTGTGTTCCCAGCACCCTCTGTCATAAGGCAGGAGGAAACCATTCCCCACTGGTTGCTTTACACATTAAGAGTGAAGGAGAGCAGAAAATGTTGAGAAGCAGCTTCCTCCCTACTGCTGTTGGTCTCTGCAACAAGCTTTGCATGACCTGCTCATCACAAGCTGAGATCTTGCACCAAGAAGTCAACCACTGAGTCAAACCAGCATCAATTCATGCAGCAGTGAAACTCCCTCCCGACTTGGACTGGGGTGCTTTTTTACCTGAAGCTTTATGTCTCTCGTGCTCTGCAGGCAAGAGCCCTGCTGCACTTTCTCAGCAGTTGTGCTCTAAAAGAAACACAGACAAGCAGAATGTCCTTGTTCCTTTCAAAAACAGGGTGGAGGCAGTGGGGTTGGAACCTCAGATGAGCTCCAGTAAGGCTATCTAGGCAGCCTTGGTCTGTGTACTTCTTCAGGACCACCTCATCTGCCGTGTCTGGGACTCGGGTATGGTCAGAGACTGCTTCAAATAGAGGTACGTTACCCTGCCAGTGCCCACAGGCAGATGATGATGATGATGATGATGATGATGATGATGAGGGCAGATGATGTTGCTGTTGGGGGAGACACCGACCCCACAGCTCCAGGAGATGCTCAGGTGTTGGAGCAGCATCTGCCCTGAGCCAGGTGATTGCGTCTGGCTCACACAGAGCTCTGCAGGTCCTTCCTTCACATCCCACCACCCCGCTGCAGGTTCTCCTGTCCTGCCTGTTGGGAACAGCCACCCCTCTTTGCTGAGGGACAAGGACAACGCTGCAGAAGGGAAAAGGTCCCTTGTTTGCTTTGGAGGTGCTGCAGGAATAGCTCTGCCCCAGCAGCTCCCATACGCGCCCCGCTCTCATTCCCACAGCTCGCCTTCCAGACGAGCAGCTACCACAGCAGTGACCCAGGCACATCCGTGCCACTTGTCCCCCCTGTCCCTTGGAATTATGCCTCAATTCTGAGAGGCAAATGAATTAAAAAAAAACAGCTGGTTGGAAAATATCTATGAAAGCATTTATAGAAAAAGGAAAGTGTTTCAATGCCGTGATTTTTCTTCTAATAAAGATTGTTCGGAGGAAGGGAAAAAATATTTTTAGGAAAAAAAAAAAGTTTCATTTTGCAATTTTTAGATGGTTTCCCAAATTTATATTTTTAACCCTTTAGTTTATATTTCGTGACATGTCCCAGTGTCACATTAACAAGACAAAGAGATAATGCTATCTCCTACCATTTCGTGTCATGGCAGTGCTCGTAGAGAAGGGGATAAACAGATCATCACCTGTGATGGGAAAGAATTTTCAACTCAAAATCCAAACTGAAAGTAACTGAGGTTAATTCGGATTTCTGCACCGCCTCCCCTGCCCCGTGTTTATGGGGAGGGACAGATCAGTGTGGGTCTGGCAAACTGAAACCAGAAGGGGTTGGGGTTTCTCTTTCCCCCAGCCTGTGGAACCGCAGTCTCCACCCTGAGCACCCTGCTCTGCTCAGAGGTTTCTGTAGGGCAGGATCATCCCTACCCCACAAAGACATCACTGAGATCAATGGCTTGAGCAGCATCAGCTTCCCTCAGCTCCTCATGCAGCCCTGCAAGCTTTCCCGAGAAGCAGAGCTGCAGCCTGACCAGAAGTGCTCCATCTCAGCAGTGCTCTCAGGACTGGCTCGCTGCCCTCTGCCATTCTCAAATGCCACCTTCTGACTCCTTCAGGGTAAAGAAAATATTTCCCTTCAGACTAAACGTGCTGTCTCAGGGCCTCTTCCACCCGTTGCATGGGAGAAGCTGCTGCAAACCCCTTCCAAGCCACTGCAGCAAGTGGCTCTGCTGCCTCCTGCATCACCTGCTTGCTTAACCTGGGAGGTCACATCTTGGCGTGTACCTGCCTCTTCAGACATCCCAGCAATCATTTACATTCCCAAACCTGCTGCTGAGCAGCTCTCCAGCCATACAGCACATACCCACTTAGTCACTGTGGAAGAGCCACTGCTGAAGACCTGCTTGGCACTGCAGTTCGGTCTCACAGAGCAGCAGCATCCTTCAGAAGACCTCCCCCTGCCCCGTGTCACTGCTGCCCAGGACTTCCAGCTTAGTTCTGCAAACATCTGGACAGCACATCTGTACTGCAGAGCAAGGATTGCTTTGAGCAGTGACTGCATGGCTTTTCTTCCAGTGAGGAGCCCCGTCCTGCCACAGGACAGTGATCACATCCTGTGTGTCTGCACACATCCACCAGCCCTCGCCTCCTCACGTTCATGGATCCAGCTTAGTGTGGTGCTTCCAAAGCTTTTTCCAAGGGAACTGGCTTCAGTTCCCTCCAGGAACGCTCTGCACCTCTATGACACAACATGCTGGGTGAACACAGGCTTCCCTGTGCTTCTCCACAAACCTCAGTCAGCTTTTCACCCCCACAGCTCATCCCAGCAACGCAATCCCCTGGCTAAAGTGCACCAGCAGCAAGAGCTGTTTCCTTTCCCCCTCTGTCAGCCGGGACCAGGTTTTTCCTTAGCCATGGGCTTCCCACTGCTCTCAATTGAGCCCCGCCTGCTGTCCCGCTGTGCTCTCCCCAGCTGCTGCTCACAGGTCATGTCTCCTTCTGTGGCTGCATCAGGCGTCGGGTCAGTACTTCACAGCACACACCTTGAACTCCTGCTCTAGACTCAGTCTCACCGCTTGTACATCGTGAACACAGGCGTCACTCAGTAACTACACCAGGTTGGCTTTACCACAGCCGAGATGAAATCTAAGCAAGAAAAACCCTCTTTAAAATGGAAAGGGGCCATGCCCTGTAATCTTGAGTGCAATAGGAGCTGATTGTATTATTAAACTTATAGCAATGACTTCAGGAAACACAATGTGTTTTACTCAAATTGCACACTTTTTTTGAACGGCTGTAAAATAGAGTATATGTGTAAATATTGCCATCACTGAAGAAGTATTTGTAATTTTAGCATATAAATATAACAGGCTTTTCAGTGGGCTTGATGATGCCCCGGGGCCGCGCATCAAGCTCTCGGGTAATCCCAAAGGTGTAAATGTATTTGCTGTACAGAGGAAGTGTCAGCGCTCGCTTCTCCCAAGGGAACGGAGGCTCCGGTCGGTCCCTTTTGGAGGCCATCCCGGCACGGCTGGCACCAGCCCGAGGGCTCAGCAGCTTCCTTTGCGCCCAGTAACAGCCCTGCAGCGCGGTGCTCGCAGTGCCATGCGCTCCCCCAGCCACGAGGAGAGCCCTGGGCCCGCTGCACACCGCACCTCCGGGACAGGGAGCACTGGGCAGGGGCGGCCCCCCCTTGGTGCTTCAAGAGACGCTTGGCATGAGCGATCTCCTAGCTACAGATCAAAGCAATAGTCACACTGATGGCATCTCTAATAGAGTAGACCTCATCTGCCACCCTTGCACATCGTTGGAGTGGTCAAAGCACTGCTCCAAGGCCAGCCTCCAGTGGACTGCACTGTATGTGATGAATGAAGCCATTGTTTGCAGATGCCTCTCATGGCCAAGTAACCCAAGGACCCAAAGGAGCATCTCCCTGGGCTGCCGGCATGCAGTGCAGGTTCCTGCCTTGGAGAAGCAGCACTCCAGGCTGCATGGAATGTATTTTTAAGAAAATAAATCTATTTTTTTGTATTTGCAGACATATATTTGGGCTGGGGCAGCTTAGCTAGAAGACAAATACTGCAAGAAATCCTTTCATAATCACAGACTCATCCAAGTTAAGCGAATTTTCCAGGGTTCCAGTGTTGCCTGTTTCCCTAAACAAGCTGTGTCCAATAGCTCTGTCAGCACTGTTTCCCCCTCTCACAACTCCCTGTCTCAGCTCCGCAGAGGGAAGCCAGCTCTTTCCTCCCCAGGCTGCCCATGCAGTGGATACAGATGGTGCTCACCTCCTTCCAGTTACAGTGCTCTTTGCATGCCAAATGTAAACACACACTTATCTGCATGTCTCTCCTGACTCGACCACTGTCAGCTCTACAGTATATAACCAATAAAACTCTTCTCTTTTTACACGTTTGTGATGTGGTGCTTAGAGCTCTGCCTGAATCCCTGCACAGGGGCCGGTACTCAGAGGTGCTGATGCCCACTGGGGAGGTGCTGCAGTGGCTCTGGTCTGCAGCACTGGGTTAGTGCTGAGTCTGCCCGCCTGGTGCTTAGGTTTTTGCCTGTGTCCAGGCAGGTCTCACTCATCCACTCCTGGGCTGTGCTCAAGTCATGGACAGTGCACACACGGCACATCAGGCTGAGCACAGCCGCTCTGCACTGAGATGAGCTGGATCTGGCACTGGTGAGGGCAGGTCGGAGGGTGAGTGCCCAGAGGGAAACAAGTCACCGTTTCCTCCATAGAATGGTTTAGGTTGGAAGGGACCTTAAGATCCCCCAGCTCCAACCCCTGCCACGGGCAGGGACCCCTTCCACTGGAGCAGCTTGCTCCAAGCCCCTGTGTCCAACCTGGCCTTGAACACTGCCAGGGATGGGAAGGAACTTCAGGGGATAAAGTGGTCGGGTGCTCTGCCTGCATCAGTGCGTATCTAAGAACGTGATGGGGCTGCACTCGGGGAAGTGCAGATCCGAGAAGCCTGGGCTGCATTCCTGATGTGAATATTTGCAGGGGATATTCCACTGCATTTGCAGCCTCTGTGAGGCTTTCCAGGGAATTTCTCACCACGTTGACTTGATCCCTATTAGCACCTACAAGTAATGGACAGACTCCATTACTTTGTGTAGAATCATAGAAGAGTTTGGG